AGCACTGCTTCCCCATTTGCTCTGGGATTCAGGTGCTTTTTAACCTCTCTTCACCCGTTTCACAGGAATGTAGTGAGGAGAAAACCAAACAATGCATGCAGAAGTGCTCTGAAAAGCTAAAAGATCAAATACAAATGTAGATATTATTATTTTCATAAGGTCCTGAATGTACTCACCCTTTTGTTTCTGATTTCAAGTGGGGGAGAAAGATTTCTATTTACTTTTGCACCTAATTTGAACAAAAGATACAAACATCTCACTATGACTTTTCTCCTACTTCAAGCATTTGGCTTGAAGAAGCCTTTTGTCAGCAAGCTGCCAACTAATAGAGTTGAAAGGAAATCCAAACTCCACTCCAAGTCAGGGGTGTGGAGGTGGAGAGAACAGGAAACATTGCTGGAACTTTCCTGGTCTCCAAAAAGAAATTGAACAGGACTGCAGAGGTAACTATAATCACACAACCTGTTACAGACTCTGCAGAGAACCAGATTTGTTTAAAAATTGAGTAACGGGGAGATGGCTTGACTCTACTTAAAGCTTATCTAGGACAGAATCTCAACTGTTGAGGTAGAAATGACATAGGCTTTGCCCCAAGCATAAGAGATGACATCCTGTCTTGGGAACTTGTCCCTATGCAGTTTCCTCTGCCTGGAACACACCTTTCCTCTTCTCCTTGTCTTTTCCTAATGAACTATTTCTTAGGGAAGACTCTCTGGCTGACACCCCCACTACACCCCATTCCAGATCATATCTAGTGTAAAAAAATGTGAGTAAGCTAAACTTCTCCTTTGTAATCGCTGATCATTGTTGGAATTAGTAATTCATTAATTAAACTGATTAGTGTCTGTTGTTCTCTCTCTCCTCCTTAGTAAGCTCCCTGAGGACAGGGAAGAGTTTGATTTTTATAGAAACCCCAGAACAGAATATATTATCCCCTAGCTCAAAGTGAGTCCTCATTAAGTATTTATTAAATAAGTGATGAAAGAAATACGATCTGAAAAGAACTTCAAAGCAGATTATTTCAGATCACAAATTATTTCTATATAGGCACATTTATGCAAATATATGCTATTTACAATAAAACCCTCAATTTACTGTTGCTCAGGGAGAACATATTGCAAATGGAGGGAAACCATAAAATGAAAAGGTTAATAAATCAATTTTAATAACAAGTAAGTAGTAAGGAAATAAGCCACACACCCTGAATAAAGAGTTCTTAGAGACTGGATGGTTTACAAGGTCCCAACTGCCCACGTTTACACATTTTGAAGAAGGGGTGTGAAAAGGGCAGAACTATTGCTTCGCAGGCTTGAAGGCACAGCTCACAGTCACATTCTGTTTCCTTTCTTCTGCTCCAAAAAGTTGCAAAGTATAGCTAATTTGGCATTTATTCATATGAGCATAAATAAATGAGGAAGTTAAATTTTTTCAAAAAATATTATTCAAGCACTATGGCAAGATAAAGCAACTGGTATATATTTTTTTAAGATCTTATTTATTTATTTGAGAGAGAGCATGAGGGAGGGGGCGGGGAGAGGCAGAGGGGGAGGGAGAAACAGAAGCAAGCTCCCCACTGAGCAGGAAGCCCCATGAGGGGCTCAGTCCCAGGGTCCTGGGTTCATGACCTGAGAAGAAGGCAGATGCTTAACCAACTGAGCCACCCAGGCGCCCTGCAATTAATATTCTTATTTTCTCTCAAGCTATACTCCAAGACACCATGCTTTTTGGATAAAAGTAGTACCCATCCCCCTTCGATCTGATTTTTTTCTCTTGCACACACTTATTTACATACAATTTAGTGCCAATTTTCAACAAAATAAGGTTTCTTCTTAATTTTTACATTGTGATCTTCCCTTATCTTTCAATTATTCTATGGAACATATAATTATATTCTATCTTCCTCACTAAGTTGAATTTCTGACTTTCTGTGAGCTAAGTCTACCCCATTCATGTGTTATAACAAATATAAATAAGGACGCCGAGTAATAAAGATCGGGTCTTTTCTGTAGCTTTTAAAGCTATAGTGTTTCTTTTCTTTCCTTCGAAAGGTTGTACACTATAAATTACATTACAAATAAAAATGAATTAAGTGAGACTGAGGTCAGAGAAGAAAAACAGAGGCGCCAGTTTCTGTAGAGGGTCTTTAATGGATGATACTTTGAGACTATCAATTTGGAAAGAAAAAATCAAATAAAAATCCATTTATACTCATTTTGCAGACCTCATCCTTTTCTTTGTCTTCATATAAGTAACTCTGCCAATGTCTTATTTTATATAAGATCTACGTTGTTCTTCTACTCTGTTCTAACGTTATACAAATTCTAACTCCTTAAAGGCAGACAGAAATTAAACCATTCAAATGCTGTTTGTTTAGTAATTTCAAAATAACAATAAGCAAGGCACATTTCACCTATGTGGTTTTTTTTTTAATATTTTATTTATTTGACAGAGAAAGAAAGAGAGCACAATCAGTGAGAGCTGCAGGCAGAGGGAGAGGGAGAAGCAGGTTCCCCGCTGAGCAGGGAGCCCGGTGCAGGGTTTGGGGCTCGATGCGGGGGCTCGATGCGGGGGCTCGGGGCTCGATGCGGGGCTCGATGCGGGGCTCGATGCGGGGCTCGATGCGGGGCTTGATCCCAGGACCCCAGGATCACGACCTGAGCCAAAGGCAGACACTTAACCCACCGAGCCACCCAGAGCCCCGCACTTTCACCTGTATATCACCAAACCTGCCACTCTTCCTTTATTTTGCCATTGCTCCTACTACTACTAGCAGAAATCCTAAAAGATCAGATAATAAAAACCCAGAGATCTTCATATTTTCCAACTTCATAGTCAAAGCCCATCTCAAGCTATTAATTGTCTTCATCCTCGAGATTATTTGAAACTTGTTAATTTATTTATTTTTTTCTTTGGGAAAGTAAGAATAAGTCATGACCAAAGAGAAAACTGCCACTTGTTGCCCTTTGTGGAGTCTCTTCTTTACTCCATTTAGTGGCAGCTGGGAGTGCAGAACTGGGTTTATTCCATGCTAGGGGAAGAATCCTTCCCCCCCCCCCATCATGGTGAACATCTAACAGAGTTCCTTGAATATAGAAAATGTTCAATGTAAATTTGGCAAAAGAATGGGTGAATAAAAGAATAATGCAGTGTTCATTGTTTAAAAATGAATCATTTCCATTCCTTTTTTTTTTTTAAAGCTAATCCACTCCTTTTTCTGACTACAATTTGAAACCCCTTGATAATCAAGCTTTACAAAATTGGTTTCAGGTCTCCCTACAGAGAAATAGACAATGGCACAGAGAAATGTGGCTTCAGGAGAGCTTAGAAAGAAGGACTTGTGCTCAACCAAGTTTCACATGAAGTAACTTGTCTGAGGGACACTTCCAAGCTTCTCCAGAAGAAGAAAGGATTGTTTTGGAGTATGAGGCAAAGTAAGGTGTTCCCAGGAGCAGAAATATTTTAAATGTTTTCATTTAGGAAGAGCAATGGCCTGTTTAAATCAAACCACCACCCTTAGCCTTGGTACATCAGGCTCTTAGGGAGATACAGTGTAACTTACTCTTCGAGAAGTCTGCTTTTATCTGGCCTACATTTGTATCCTGCTTGTCTCTATACTTTTCCTTTGCTTTTACTTTTTTCTCTCAATGACTATGGAGTTTCCTGTTTGATTTCTCTATAGGGGTCTTAGTGTTTAAGGGGTAAAGGATGAATAAATCCTAATCCTAAAACGATAACTGTTTCAATCTTCTTTAATAAAAGCGCCAGCTCCTGGCTTCTCCACGGTGTCGCTCTAAGAGGCTGCGGAAGGCCACCACCCAGCAGACGTGCCTGCGGGTCAGGAACCGCAGTAACTGCCTTTCCTCCCAAGTGCGCTAAGAGCCACCCTCAAGGAGTAGTGACTTCAAGGACCGGTACTCCGTCCCCCGTGCTAAGTGAGAGAGAGAGCACAGACTCCCTTTAAAGGCAAACTTTGCAAACAAGAATAACCTTGAGAAAGACTCTTTATATGCAGATCAATGTTCAGGAACGTTGCCAACCACTTACAACTCCCCTTGGACGTTTCACAGATGCGTTTTCATGCTGGAGAAGGGGCCTCTTTCTACCCCGAATCCCAAATCCCTTTGTGCCTCGGGTGCAGTTGGGTCTTATCGGATGAGCCGCTGGGGAAATATGGGCCCCCTGTCCTCTCCTTGGTCAACTAGAGTCACCTTGGCAGAGGGCTCCCCTGCCTCCCAGGGGCTACTTCTGTGGTGCCTCGACCGGAGTCTCTCCGGGGAATTCTCTCTCTGTTCTGGAGGTCTCGTGGAATTCCAACTTCTCAGTCCCAAGGATTTGCCCAGAACCAGCCGGCGGTCCCCAACCCCCAGGCTCTGGGACGGCTAGCCATTAATGGCCATCATCCATTTTTAATCAGAAAGATCACAAGAAAGATGGTAAGCGAATCCCAGTCGCATGTCAATTTAAATAACATTCCTGGGGAAATCCAATCACTTAAAACTGAGACACCTACGCGAGCAAGAGCCCCCGCCCGACTGGCGGGGAAGAGCGCGACGGCTAAATTCATCGAGATCAGGGGGCTCCCGGGCTCAGCGCGGAGCGTTAACCCTTCCAGCCCCGGAGGGTGACAAGGGGGGCCTGGAAGAGGGCGGCCGGCGGGGCGAAAATGCCCACGGCGGCCACGCACAGGCTGTCTCTGCCATCTTGGGCAGCTCCGAGCGCCCTGAGTCCGACCCGGGCGGCTGGGCGCACGGGGTTAAGGTCAGAAGCTCAGGAGGCCGCTCCGGCTGCGAGGAGCTGCCGCCTCCCGCAGCCTCGGCGCGCCTCCGGCTCCTCCTTCCGCCCAAGCGTGGCCAAGTGAGCACTGCTCCGGCCGCAGGTAGCGGAGGCACGGAAGGCGGCGCGCGGGACCCAGCGGAGCGCCCGGGGAGGGGCCGACGGACACGCGGACAGACGGATCTCCCAACCCCCTCCCTGGACAGTAGCGACCGTCCGCGCCGGCCATGTGGGGACCCGGAGTCACAGCGGAGGGCCTATCGGTGGCGCCGGCACCGCCGCCGCTGCTGCCGCTGCTGCTACTGCTGGCGCTGGCGCTGGTGGCGCCCTCGCGGGGCGGCGGGGGCTGCGCGGACCTGGCGTGTGGCGAGCGGGAGCGCTGCTGCGACGCGGCCAACGCCACAGCGGTGCGCTGCTGCAAGCTGCCGCTGCACGCCTTCCTCGACAACGTGGGCTGGTTCGTCCGCAAGCTCTCTGGGCTGCTTATCCTGCTAGTGCTCTTCGCCATCGGCTACTTCCTGCAGCGCATCATCTGCCCCAGCCCACGCAGGTACCCCCGCGGTCAGGCGCGGCCCGGGCAGGCACGGCCCGGGCCGCAGGGGGGCGCAGGGCCGCCGGGGGCCGCGGGGCCGCCCGACGACGACGACGACGACTCGCCCGCGCTAATGCGCGACGAGGTGGCCGCCGGCTCTCAGGACTCGCTGCTGGACAGTGGTGGCGGGGGCCGAGGCCGGGGAGGCGGCGGGCGCTCGGCCCCCTCCTGCGCCTCGGAGCACGAGCTTCGCGTAGTCTCGCCGGTCTTCTTGCAGCTGCCCAGCTACGAGGAGGTCAAGTACCTGCCCACTTACGAGGAGTCCATGCGGCTGCAGCAGCTCAGCCCCGGGGAGGTCGTGCTGCCCGTGTCGGTGCTCGGCCGCCCGCGAGGCGGCGGCGCCGGGGAGTCAGACGGCGGCGAGGGCCGCTTCCCGCTCATCTGAGCGTCTGCGGCCGCTCGAGGACCGCGCGGACCGAACGCTGCTAGGGGGGCTGCGGGTGGGACGCAACGACCGAGGTGGCCGCTGCCACCGCCGACTGCCTCAGACCCCGCCTGGCACCCGGGCCGAATCGCCTGTCGTCCGGCGCCTGGGTTGGAGTCACCCCCACTCCCGCTTTCCCCCGGGATCTTAAGTTTCCCTACGTTTCATTCGGTTCAGGGAAACGTTAGGCGCGCGCGGCGGGGGCTAGGGCCCCGGACGAGTCTGGAGTGCAACTTCGAAGGACGTCCCCGCCCTCAGCCTCTCCTCAGTCCTGTGTTCACTCGTAAGTGCCTGCTTTCCGAATCAAAGAGAACACGTGAGCCCTTTAGTGCGTCGAGCGAAAGGCAGTAACCTTTAGGGATGAGGGGAAAGGACGCAGTTCCATACCTCTGCCTCTCGCTTGGACAGGTCACGGTCTCCCAAGATGGGAGGAGGGCGAGGAGCCGTAGGGGCGAGCGGCGACTGGAGACTGCTGCGCGCGGTCGGGGAGAGCAGCACCTAGGTATGATCGAATCCCTCCCTCCCCTGCGGAGAACCCCCAAAAAACCCCTTGGTATATTCCTGGCCAAGCATAGTCCCAGCTGATGGCTCACAACATGGCGGGGGGGGGATACCCCTGATACCCAGTTAGGTGCTGTACCTATTGAAGATACAGCAGTTAGGTATATCGAAGACCGTATTCTTAATAAGGTACAGTTGGACTTTGGATTTCCCAATAACTGAGAAGATATATTTATTTGTCTTTTATTTTTATATTTTTACCGTGTATTGAACGTATCAGGAGTGTATTTGTGCAATTAATGACAAGATAATCGTCTTTTCCTCTTTTTTAGGCCTTAATGGCCCAGGAATTGTCTGTCATTATTGTTTAATAAAGTATTGGACATGATTTCATTTACAATGGGGAAGAAAAAGAGGCATGGGCAAAGGAGAAAACGTATGTGACATAAAACACATGAAGGATATCTTATTTTCGCTAATTGAGAATATATTTTATTTTTAGTACTGTGGCATAATATACAACTTTTGTAATAACTATAGATTGTGTAGTCTAGGTCTTAATTGTATCATTCACCACATAGTTATATGTAGATATGATTGATACATATATGCCATACCATGAAGCATGATGTCATGTGCTTTTCCCTTTGTTTTGAAGTACATTCCACAACATGACGCAAAACATAAGAACTTGTGACTTCTCTTCAAAGCCATAATTGTCAAGTAATGTACTGCAGAAGGATTTAGTCAGCATATCCTAAGAAAAACATAAATGTCATTGTATCAGTTCTACCATTCTATGAAATGTTCTTTAAGCAAATGGTAATATAAAATAATATATTAAAATGCATTATGTATAATGTACATATGCACATAGTCTGTGTACAATATACATATTGTATACCATATAATTACTACAGTTTATGACCGCCATGAAAGGAAAAGAAGGAAAACAAAAGGTTTCTCTTCTTGAGGAAGGATGAGTGTTACATTAAGAAAGATTTTACATGTGAACTTCACATACGTATCTAGAAACATTGTTCTTATGATTAAAAAAGTTTGACAATCCTGAGATTGTATTAGAAGAAACTGATTTGATTAATTTGAGAAGTGATTTAATTGTGAAATTAATTTGAGAAAATGATTAAACTTTTAAAAGCTAATAGAAAAAGTCTGACAGTTCTAAGAAGTCTGAATTGTAATAGAATGGTTTACTCTAAACTGCTAAAAGCTAATGACCCTGTCATTAAAATCATTTGAAGTGTTTTTAAAACACAGAAAAACATTAAAATCTTTCTCTGTGCAAATTGTATCAGATGTGTGACTATATGGCAATGCATTAAAATATGAAATGTGTATCTTTGTTATTTAAAAGCAGTTTTAAGCTGTGTTTGGCAAAACAATAAGGAGTTTGATTTAATGAAATCACATCATATTGAGTAATTGCATATGTTAATATTATTCAAACACTATAAATTTTAGTAACATGTGGCTATCAATACCACCCACCATTCAAACAAACAGGAAAGTTGCCATAATCTTTTAAATTATCTATCCTTTGAGGGTATTCTGTTTTAGACACATCTTAAAATTCACCCATATCTGAAACGTCAACGTGAATATCCAAGTACCAGCATATGAAGTATATCCTATGTATTGTTATTACTAGCATCTTGAGCTTTGCAACAAAATCTTGTAAAAATACTTATAATATGAATCAAGTGTATTTCCCTTGTATCAACTATGGAACATTTCTCTCCCTAAAATTCAGAATGTCTACAATGTAATACTAGTCATGCAGTGAGGTTCCACTGAATTTTAAAGTTACAACAAATTTTACACTTGTTTTTTTCCTACACAGCACACAAGCTTTTATGCACATCTCTCAGTTAATAAAAATGAGTTTGACTCTGGTTTTTTTCTTGCACTTCATTGACTTACCAAGCACGATCTGGGGGGGGAGAGAATTTCTTAAAAACTATTTTTATTAGTGATAAATGAACATGTTTCATGGTAACACACACACACATACATAACATACCCTGTTAATACACAACACACAACCTATGTGTTCACAATGCTAGAAGGCCTGGATAGAAACGTTTTTAAAGCACTAAGCGTGGTATCTAGGTGTATCAATTTTATAGGTTTCACCTGGAAGTTATTATCACATAGAACTAGTAGAAAATAGAAATGTAGAAAACATTAATGTAGAAAAGTTATCCTCCCACCTGAAAATAATTTGTGATGAGATGCTGATTTTACTTATTTTCAATATTTTTTTATATAGGTGAGGGTACAGATATGTGTATATATGCACATATTTATAATCATCAGTTGCTTAAAAGCATGACTTTTCTATTCATATTTTTCATATGTAAAATATGAATACCAATTATGGGTATTATATAATTATATATATATATATATACACACACACACATATATGAAATCAGTTGCTTAAAAGCAATTTGTTGGTGGTGTTCAATATCATAAACAAGGGGGAAATGTCTTCTTGAGTTAGAATGATAGTTTCAAGAGGCCATTAATTCAACCATGGAAAATGGCTTTGGCAATTATGCCAAAGGGCATGAGGTGTACTATATAAGGAAAACAAGATTCAATTGTAAAGGCTAAAGGGAATATTAAGGAAATAACCTCAACAGCTTAAAAAGCAATAGGCCAAGCACCTCAATGTTGTACTTTATGTATACAGTTTCTCTCAAGTGTAATTAATAAAGGAAACAGTTCATAGCTGGAACTTATGTTATAAACATGAATATGGTGTTCAGATTTAAACAATGTTCTGCATTGATTTCTGTAAAAATGTCATGAACATAATTAATTTGGATTTCCAGTTTGAAAGAAACAATGATGAGTTGTTTTATTTTGAGTAGCCCAGCATTAATCATCTTTCCAAAACTGTACATTACAGACAACCATTCAGTAATAGAATATTTGGCAAGTTTGTATCTGACCTTACTAGTTTACAATTTACTTTTTCACTCACCTTTCATCCATTGGGAAAAGATAGTACGCTAAGGGAAGGTATTTTATCAACAAAGAATGAATCAACAACCAGCTAATTGTAAAGAATTAAGATATCCTTTCTTCCATAGAGATGGAAAGGATGTCTTTTTTTCTAATTTTGCCTATAAAATAATCAAATGTCAAATAAAACCAATACTTTGATTATATTTAAATACATATAGAACCTAATTTTATTTTCTTTTACTTACAGAATTCACTTCTAATTTTACAGCAAAAATTTTACAATGGAGGACATTTATGCTTGCCATTGAACTAAAGATCATCACTTTTTTTTCCTCTTCAGCTTCTTAGCTAAGCACCTTCATTGTCTTGATCTCTCCTAGTTCTTATTTTCTTTCTTTGTGTGTTGTTATCTTGCTTTGAATTTTCAGTATTCATTTTCACTAAAACACATCTCATAGGACTCCAAGTTGCTCTTTTCTGTGATTTAATATTACTCTGGCTATGGCTTGGTCTTTTGCACAAAGTTTCTTCTTTTGGTAAACATTATTTTCCAAAGTGTTCTTTTTTTTTTAAAGATTTTATTTATTTATTTGTCAGAGAAAGAGAGCACAAGCAGGGGAAGCTGCAGGCAGAGGCAGAGGGAGAAGCAGACTCCCCGCAGAGCAGGGAGCCCGGTGCTGCGGGCCTTGAGCCCAGGACCCTGGGATCATGACCTGAGCCGAAGGCAGACGCTTAACCGACTGAGCCACCCAGGCATCCCCCAAAGTGTTGTTTTCTATTTGCATCTGCTTCTATCGGTTTCCAGTTTTGAGCCAGGTGGTTTTTCCTTTTTATCCACTAAAGGACTGTAAACATATTTCTCGTTATTCCTATCCATAGAGATTTTCTCTGTCACTGAGCAAATGATCGTATCTTTGCAGCTCTCTAGCAAGAATTTTCATTTTTCTAGATCTCAAACAATAAATCTTGATTTGCCTTTTTATCTTTTTGCTTCCTCACTTGAAATTTTCTGGAGGGATTGACAGCACTTTTCTCCCTACTTTTCCCTAAAAATGTGCTCTCTGCTATATTTATAAGAGCAAAGAATTAGACCCTTGCATCTTAGTAGTGACAGGGACCTTATTTTGGCTTCCAAACCTCAAGTATATTATATGTCTATTGACTGCTATATCTTTATGCTTCTAGATTTTTCTCACAGGCATCTTTGTGGTTTCCTCTGTGTCATTCTATCCGAGGAATGGTTAACTACTCTTATTCTTGCTCACAGATATTCCATTTGTTATACTAGATAAATGATCATATTCTATCTTTATAGGGAAGACCTCTAGACCTCAAATATAGCTTGATTTTCTATTACTTGCTGTATCTTTGACGTTCTTACGGATTTCTGCATGGGCTCCTCTTCAACTTCTGTATATGGTACCACTGTTTTACTGGGTAGACTAGACGGTACCTCTAACTTTATG